TTCAGTTTTCTTCTGTCTGAGGTATTCGCCAAGCCATTAAAATTAATAATTGAATTTGTTAGTTAATAACAAACATCTTATATTCCATCATTTCACCTCAAGTTGGATTTAAAGTTCCAATAACAACATTTTTCCAAATATCAACATAAAAAGAAACTACATAGTTACTTTGATAAGCACTAAGCATTTACTGATTTACTAACTCAGTACTAGTAACTATAACAAAATACTCTGTTTAAAGTAACTTTGTAACACTTGTTGACACACCTTGATCTAAGAAAGTCCTTTGGTCACATTATTTTCAGTCTTTTCTAGGGGTACCATCATTTACGTTCATCCCTCTTTCATGTAATCATTTTTTAAACTCAATCTGTTGTAGCATGCTTGTAAAGTAATGAAAGCAACTTTCAATTTTTGATTTGTATAGAATTTTATTCATTATTTTTTCAAATTCAAGTTGTTTCTGTGACCATTGTAGGTTTTTCTTTGATTAAACAAGAGCTACCAATGTTCTCAACGTGTGAATAGTCTTACTCTGAGTTGAAGTTACTATATATTATGATTTGTAATTTTTTATTTAATTTTTACCAGGAGACAATGATTTTAGTGTTTATCAAAACTAACTGTAGAAATGTAAAACATTATAGGATTCAACCCACTTTTTATTCTAAAGCAATGATGTTTTTGGAATTCTTGCAAAATGCATAACTTTTCTTTTTTTATGTAAATCAAGACAATCCACGTCTATCCTAAAATTGTAGTCTGATTTTATATCAGATTATTGAAGCTCTAGTTTGTAATTACTTTAATGATTGAAAAAGCCTTAAAATTAAAATTTTGGCTAAAATTGTAGTAAGGTAATTTTTTTTCTATTTTATATTTCAGTTACTAAAAATACAAAAACAAATAATGAAGTCCACATGTTGGGTTGTGTTCTGTGAGGCAGATAAAAGCTTCTCTGACAAGGGTGTGTAAAGTTCTGACTTCTGGGTCAGACGCTGATGGGCTTACTGGGAGTCAGCTATGTGGAAACTGGCGTCTCAGAAATTATCCTCACATGGGGTCTCACTTTCTGTGTAAAATCGTTGTTTTTGCTGATACCTACTCCCGTTTTCTGTAAGTCAGGACAAGGTCAACAAACCCTGGGCTACTCAATAATCTGACAGAGGGTTGTATCATTTTACTGCATGTTCGCTGCCCCCAATACAATAACAGGATTTCTTTGATTTGTTAAATATATACCATCTTTAAACGGAGATACGAAACTGTTCTTCTCTATTTAATTTCTTATTTTATTTTCTCTAAACTTTCTCATTTGCATATTCTTTGCCTATCAATTGAAATTTCTGTAAAAAACATGATGGACAAAGCTTCCCGAAATTTGTTCAAACCCTTTTTTATGCTTTTCAACGTATTTCATCGGGATTCTTGGTTAAAGTCCAACAAAGTAGTAAAACAACAAAACTGAATACAAATGTTGTAAGGTTTTTAAAAAAAATAATAATAATAATAACCACAGGTTAAACAGGAGCAGACACCTCTGAACCATTTTTTCATTAAATACTTTATAATACATACTGATCAAGCTCTGGGAAACATGTTTTATGATACAGCATATTAATGCCTTTTTTGTTTTTACTCCAGTGAGAAGAAAATTTGCAGAGGCTTGTTCATATGGCAGTAAAACATCACTGGAGTCACAAAAACAAGGTGTCTCATAATCATCAACCTTGATCCCCAAAAGCTTTTTAAATCCCTTGACATTTTCTTTCTAGAAAATACAAGGAGAACATTTGTTTTACCGGTATATCATGCAGGGGGCATTAGATATACAGTTTTGTATAGATAATAAAAAAAAAATGGCAATGATGGTATGAGATTAAATGTGAAAGAAAACAACAAAACAAAACAAACCAGGGGGATGAACAGCCTCATATATCTTTGCTTTATCTTAACATGTAGCTTGATGCATCTAGAATGGATGCAGTGTAATTGTTGTCATAGATATAACTCTTGCAGTCTTGGAATGATCTCAGCTTCATCAGATATCAGGTCTGCAGTAAGGCAGGGGGTTCCTTAGTAAAACAGATTTATACAAAGGATTATACAGGTTGCCCCCCACCCCATTCTTCAGCTGACCTCAGACTGATCAGAGGAGGGAGGACACCCTCTTTCCCCCTTCTGTCCTTGCAGCAATCTAGCTCAGGTCATTTATTTCTTTCACACCCCATCGCAGCTGTAGGCCCGGCAAACATGCTGCCCGGACGCAATAATGAGGTGACCTTGAGTTTAGACGTCGACCGCTGCTCAGTATGAAAACGAGGGGCGTCATGACACTTGAGATAAACACGCCCACACTGTCATACATGATTATGGATAAATTGTGACCTACTTAAAGACCATCAATCTTATTTTATGAAACAAGTGGAATGATGACATCTGCAGGCTGCAGCTATAATAGCTCTGCTGCAAGGATGGAAATATTTTAACTTTCATGTTAAGAGGTGAACTTTCCCTCTACTAAAGTTCATTCATTATTAAGATGTTTTAATGTGCTCTAATGACTGTAAGAAAAGCACAATAAGCAGATCAAGCCCATGTGATCTGAAGTCTGGGCCTTTTATTGCAGAGGAATCATCCTCTGACCTCCCTGCTTCCTGACAGAGAGAGAGGAAAAACACACAAATCCTCCAAAGGTTTGGGAGAAGTTTATCCATTTCCTGATATAACAAAGTGAAACACGGGACGTTGTTGCAATAACCTTTTGTTTGGCGGGGAATCAAAGTGGGAGGCCTTGTGTCTGGGGAACAAATGCACAGTGGCGTGCTGGAAGCCCAAACACTTTGGACTCAGAGGAAAAGGTGAGGTTGCTTCTTCAACAAGGGCAAGGATTCCTGAGACACCTTGAAAGCATCCCAGCATTGTCCTGAAGACTCACATAACACTGCAGCTCGGGTGAAAACACAAATATGAGCAAAAACTAAACAGCCCTGAACAAAACAGCATTATTTTCAGGAACGTCTCAAATGAAAGGGATACTTTTACCAAACATGATAAAATCTAATCCCATTTATTCATGCAGAGTTACAGCTCTGGTAAGACATTTATGAGAACATTGATCTTGAATAGCATAGGACGGCTTCTTTTTTATGCTTTTAGTAATGCATTTCAACTGTTCAGTATGAAATTAATACACAGTATATTTGAATAAATATAGAACCTAATTGAATGTTCACAGGGTTAAAACTGTATGCATAGGTTTACATATCCACATATTCTCCCACTGTTTATTAGATATTAATCCCTAACAAGCTGGATCTTTGACTACTCCTCTTATTAGAATGTGCTTAGCTCTTTTGAAATTGTGTTTGCCACTTTGACTTTGTCACAAACCATAGTCTGTATATTTTGCAAACGGTTTCAAAAGCTTAATGTTCAACAGTTTTATTCATCTCCAAGGCCTTTTTGATGTGTTTGTAATCCTAATTATGCTGAAACATAAAAATGTGCGCAATTTCTAACTGTGTGACGCAAACCAAACCATTGCCCCTTTCGTCCATGGATAAAATGAAAATGATTAGGATGTTCAGGAACAGAGCAGGATCCATTAAATCTGATGGATATTTTAAAAAGCTGGGGCCTCCAAAGGAAGATGGATGTTTTAATACATGGAAGAACTTTTATGGACTTTAATGTACGTGTCGACAACCCTGAAGACAGAGATCCAAATAACCAGTGATATTGTTTAAAGTTTTGGTTGGACTTAAAATGTTAAACAACTCACACTTGAGGACATACTGCATTTTGGACTTGGCCATCAGTAAAGGTCTAAATATTTCTAATGTTAATCTTTCCTACTGATCTAATTACCATAACACATGTCATAAGAGAGCATCTTATCATGGACCGTACAATTAATAACGTTACCCAGGCTTACCATTCTCCTTCCCATTCACCCTGTCACTTTTTAGATAAGCTGGTGGATATTTTCCATTCTAAAGTTGCAGACACCATTGGTTCCATTGCTCCAGACAGTAAAAGTGAAAGTTGTCTCTGAGAAGATGAAACATCCACGAAGAAACGCTCCAACAGTGAGAAAAGAAAAGGAGGAGGGCCAAAAAGCTGAACGAAGGTCGTGAAAGAATGGACTCCAGATTAACTATGAAATCTATAAAGAGAACCTTCACGGACATTATTAATGAGCAAAAGATGCAAGAAAATCTTTCTTCTCTGAGATATTAAACAAAAGCATCAATGATGCTCACACCTTATTTACCACAGTTGACAGGTTAACAAACCCTCCTATCCATATGGCAGGTGAACTACAATCTAAAAAGGCCTGCAATGACTTTGCAAAGTTTTATACTGAGAAAACACAATGTATTAGAAAGGAAGTATGCTCATTAACATCAACTCCAGTGCCAACACTGTCTCTAGTTAGAACAAACTGTTAAAATGTCCAAATTCTGCCAAATAAACTGCAAAAGTCTGAAAGAGACTGTTCAGCAGCTAAGCTTCTCTTCCTACTGTTTAGATGTTTTACCCCCTTTTTTATAAACTTTGATTTAAATCATAAACACAGTCCTTACTTCAGGTCTTTTCCCCCAGGCCTTAAAAACAGAAATTATCAAACCATTTTAAAAAAAGAGAATTTTGGACAGTAGCAGAACTACAGGCCCATCTCAAACCTCACATTCATCAGGAAAATTACTGAAAAAGTTTTTTTTCAAGTTAAAAGCCTTCTTAACAATGAAAAGCTGTTTTGACGTCTTCCAGTTAGGTTTTAGTGCCAACCACAGTACAGAGATGTCCCTGATTAAGGCGTTCAGTTATTGCAATATAAAAAATAAAAAAAATTATTAATTGTAATTTTCTGTGAAGACCTTTTCTGTTTTTTTTTTTTTTTTTACTAATTTTTCCTCTAATGTAAATTACTCTGAAATGTTGCCCATTGTCATTAGCGGAGTTGCCATAAATAAATTACCTAAACAGCTCTGATAAATAAATACAATACTTTATACTGTGAATTTACAGACATTTGTTTTCAGCTGCCTTTCACTATTGAAGTTAAACTGTTAACTGAGGTATTATTAGTTTAAGGTTGTGGTCCAACTATTTTATTGGTTTAACTACCTGCTTATCATGTTTTTAACTATTTGCTTTTACTCTGATTTTAGTTTTTCTTCTATGTGTCCATGTACTGAATTTTGCTATAAAAATAAAATTGCCCTAGCTTGCCTTACAGCTCTTTAAACACATCTGTCACTGTCTCAAGTGAGGTGAGTTTAACACCATTAGGTGTAAAAGGTGCTGACAAAGAGATAAACAAACCAAGACCTTCAGGAAAGTCTGAATTTGACAGCAGACCTGGAGCACTTTCATGGTATCTTGCATCATGGATGTTTTAAAAATCAACCCTGTTCAAGCTAATCCGATAAAAAATTTGCTTAATTTAGGCTGAAGAACCAGTGAAGGATCTAAAACATGAAGGAAAGCGGCCTTTGAGGAATGAATGAAACATCACAGGCAAAATGCCTTTAGAATAATTTTTTTTTGTCCGGATGAGAAAATTTAAGCTATTCAACTACAGTGACAAAAACAGTTTGGATGAGTTACACTGAGGACATTGTACAACAGGAACAGGAATAGCAGCACCAGGCTGAAGGACTTTTGCTTAGCAGTGCTATTGTTGCTGCAGACAGACTCAATAAAGCAGTGAAAAAGACAAACTACATCCAAATCATTTCACTTTCCCTTAAAATTAAATTAGTAATTGAAACACATTTATTCTAATGCAAGTGGAGGAGTATGCATATATTTGAACATCTGCAAATGGTTTTTGACCTCATCTTGATATAAAATCTATGATAAATTTAAAATTGTGTGTTTAAAAAAAGAAATAATTAATGTCTCACCAGAGTTGTATCTGCTGAACAGCTTATAATATTTTACCTTTTAGATACTGTGTAATATATAAAAAAAAAACAAAAAAAAAACATTGCCATGCAGTAGAGGGGCATTATACATAAACACAGTGTAAAAACAGACCTAGAAATGCCTTAAAACTGGTTTAAATATGTACAGATATATATATTATGGAACTTGTGTGTGTGTGTGTTAATGTGTGTATATATATTCTTCTGAAAAACAATAAATAAGGTCAAACATATAAATGGCTCATGGTGTGATAAAAAAAATCCTATGATTCTTAGCTCTGAGTAAGAATAACACAGCTGACATCATAAGAAGATTAAAACGTTTGGGGAGGCCCCACTGAAAACATCTATAACTCACACCCCAGGCACTTAGTTTGGACTTGAAATCATTTCACTCTAAATGTGGACTTTCCTGCATAGCAGAACAGTTTATTAAAAATAACTGATTTTTTAAACAGTTTTTAAGCCTGATACTGTTAAGACCTGGGTAGATAAAACTTTGGTTTGTCATCTTTCTACATCTTCCGTTTTAGTTGATGACTTACATTCAGCTTTTAAATAAAAGGTAGTATCTGTTGTGCCATAACGTGGTCAATAAATAAATCTTTACATTTTCTACACGTGGAATGTAACATCTCCAGTATACTGTTTGTGTTTTATATTTCCAAAGTCTGCATAACTGGAAAGTCTTGTATGTTTGCTCAAAATATAGACACAACATTGGGTCCCAGTCACTCATGGAAAATGTTTTTTTCTTTATTTCCCTCTCCTCTTTGATAGTTTTCTTAAGTGTGTGTTATTCTGCAGCTTCTTGCAGGGCTCTGTGTTTACTTCAATACGCCATCCTCAGGAGTGAATATACATCCGTCTTCTGAAGAAATCCTTCAGAGTGATTCGAGTGTGAATTCAGTCTCTGATCTTTAATTAACATAAAAAAATGTTCACCTTGGTTTAGGACCCAACTTATAGCTGCAGCAATTTCAAATATTGCTGTTTGCGTCCCTCTAGATCCGTAGCTTTATCTGATGCTTTTGTGCATTAGCCATGCCACGAGGAAATAAATGCAGCAATCCATCCTTTGCATTCCTTGTGTTCTCTGCTGTGTTGGAGTCAGACAGTGTTTTCTTTTTATTTTCCTCACATGAATCACTCCACAAGATCCAAGCCAAAAGCTACTGAAGTGAAAATCTCTTTACTTTCCAGATCATTTTGCATTGCAGATGCAAGAGAGGCTGGACTGTGTGTGGTGTTGACATTGTCAATGACATCCTTCCGGTAGGTAGAGGGGCGGGGGCTGAGCAGACAGGTGAGCACAGATGGATGTCCTGCTGAGGGTACAGCTGTCCTTTGTCAAAGCAAACATCTGGTAGAGGTCAGGCTGTTCCCAGGCAGTGATGCATGAACTACAGGCTGCATCAGTCCTTGCAGCTAACTCGCCATGTGTTTTTCAAGCATGTGCCTGTATTTTCATCTTTTCAGTGTCTGTCAGTACAGGTTGTCCTTTGTGGTGGAGGTGTGTGTGGCCGTAGAGTCATCGGGGAGGGAGCCCCTTCGGCCGAGACGTGACCGGCACTGCAGCAGGTTTTGAAGCTCTCTGGACACGCTGCTGGAAAAGGCCGTGTAGATCCACGGGTTGGTGCATGAGTTCAGGCTGGCCAGCAGCATCAGGATAGTGAAGGCCACTCCTGCAGAGGACACATAACGGAAAAAAACAGCGTGGATCTAGTGCATTATTACTACACATCTCCAAATATTGTCATGTTATATCCAGGAATTCAAAAGTGTTTTACTGGTACTTAATGTGATATAATTTGGTTCTGGAGAGGTCAGCAAATCCCACATTTATTTAAGTCAGTTATGTGGACCTTTAGGAACATCTAAAACATGCTGGACAGTGGACCCTTAGGACCAGGGTTGAAGACCTTTGCCCCAGAAGAGCTGTAGAGCCTCTTAATTAGTGCTCCTCTTGTCCAGGCTTTTAGTTCAGGTGAAAGGTCATGTGTTTGTGGGCCTGTAGCCTTCCCTGGCCTGTCATATGTGTTCCTTGATCTTTATGCTCTACAATTTTCTCTAACAAACCTCCAAGGACTTTGCAAAACATCTGGTTTTATATAGGGAATACCTTTTTTAAAAGAGGAATTTCAGTAGCTTCTGAAAGAAGAAAGTTCCACTTGATTTGGTTTAGGCTTATTATAGTGAAGAAAGGTGATATACAGTATTTATTCTTATATTCATTCAGCCTCACAATCCAGGGCTAATTTGTGTTTATTTCTGTTACATAAAATCCCAATAAAAACCTATGAATAATATACCATGGTGAGTTTTGAGAAGGCTAAAGCACTATGAATACTTTTTGACCGCTACAATCAGAAGTGAGGAGGGAGCATTTAAATATGAAAGCTGTGTTTGCTGTTTCACTTATTTCCATAAAGATTATAAATATTTCAGACGAACAAAACTGTGAGTTCTTTCTTTTTAAACTTCATTTTGCATCTATTTATAAGCTGTTTATATAACCTCTGGTTTGGTTTAGTTTAGTTTGCTGTGGTCACTCAAAAACAGCAGAAATGTTGCAACAGCATTTTTTAATACGGAGCTGATAACATCATCTCCATGTTTCTGGTTGTGTTTGTGGAGCCCCATGCCAGGGAGGACTCATTCATATTAAAACTTTAAATATGCATGTGTGAGTGTGCTTGTATTTGTTCCTACAAGCTTCCCGTGGCTCAGCCTGTGTCCACGTTTGTGTTTTTGACAACATGAGCAAGCTGTTGGCACATTTCATTGTGAATGAAATGTGAACACCTGGTACGTAGTACATAATTAGCAGGAATATACAGAAGTTATTTACTGTTATTCACCCATTAGTCACATATTATGTCACAGCTTTAGGAGGGACAACCCTCTTTTGGTTGCGCCACCTCTAGCTGCCAGTAAATATATCAACAAATGTTGTTTGTGCTTTAGTTCCACAGAGACATGTGATCCAGGGGTTCTGGTTGTGTGTCAAAACAGACATTGTTTTGACCTTGTCTTTCATTCCTTGTTACATCATCTGAGCCGGAGCCTGTTCTTGGAATAACGAAATGGTCCTTGGAATAATTTCTCAATAAGACAGACAACAGGCAGTGATTGGAGGCTGCAGCTGAGTAACATAATCACTTAGTTTTTGGCGTGTCTGGTTTGACAAAACAGATAAGCATTGCCCATTTAAAGCAATTAAAAAGATTATCATGCCTGAGGAGAATTAATCCATCCGGGACAAAACAACATTAAGGATTCTTTTTAGATCCTTTGAAGCAGTTTTTATTTCTTCTCTGTCTGTCTTAGACACATACTGTAGAATAAATCAATTTTCTTATTCTTTATACTTTTTCAGATTTGTCCCATCACATCCAAAAAGGTTAAAAGCCTTTATCTATTTATTTTTGGGACAGACCAACATCAAAGACACCAAGAAATTCTTTAAAAGTGAACATCAATTTCCAAATATTTTCTCAATTTTATCAACTACTTTGAGGTTTGGACTTTGACTATACCATTGTGAAACATCACCATGTGTTTAAATAAAGCATGCTTATACTCTGTAGTGGTTTCAGTCATCAGCTTATGTGCAACAAAGATGAAGCAGATGGATGAGCTCAATAGGGGGTTTTGCTGTGTTTTTAAATTCCCCTCTGGACACAGTGCAGGTGGTGGGAGACAGAAGGACTGTAACAAAATACATGTTAAATGGCCCATACCTTTATATTGCCTTTTCAATTTAGGGGACCCCAAAGCACTTTACACTACATTCAGACATTGATGATGGTAAGCTACACTGCAGACTCTGCTGCCCTGGGGAACACTTAGAGAAACCGGGCTGCTGCGCAGCTGTGGTTGCAGGAGGAACTCCTGCATCCCTCGCCGCTGTTACCCCAAATAACATCACTATAGGAAAATGCCTCAAACCCCATGCTTGAAGCTTTCACAGAACTGTAAAGTTCATTCAGTAATTTTGCTCCTTTTGTGCACAAAGGACTGCAATCCTAGATCCTTCCCCCCGGCTGCTGTTGGACTGTATATTCAATACTGTTCCCAACATGCATAGTGAGTGTTTAAAACCATGCCGGTTTTTTTTTTTTTTGCACAGCTTTTATCTACTTAATAAGTGTTTCTGTACATTAAAGATATGTTCACTGTTTTTACCTGCCCCATTAATATCTCTACACCCATGCAGCTGTTCACATAGATTTCTTTAGTTTGAAATAGGCTGCTATATTTCTTTTTATCTCTAACATTTCTCATTTGTCCATTAAAAATTATTGCACAATGTGGATTTTCCTTTGCCATACATTCTATTTTAACTTTTTGGTACTTCTATTCTATTCTATTGAATTGGATTTGTTTGCAAGGTAGCACTGGTTGTATGTTTAGGCTTGTTGATTTGTTGGAAGGAGAACCCATCCATTGCAAATCAGATCATTCCATCAACTCTGACCATCATCCCCCTAGCATCCTTCTACGTCTACCGTGTTTTATCATCAGTAATGAGCAATTTCTTGTTCTGTTTTCTGTTTTTATTCTACCATACATGTGTTTAGCAGACATGCTAACAAATTTCTCTATCAGTCGTCTTCAAAATGTTTGTTTTGCCTCAGTGGGGAGAATTTCAGATGTCACTCTAATGTCTTTCTCAGTGTCACTTGGCTAATAGTTGCTCAGTTTATTCATGATTCACCCTAAGATAAAGTACTCCACAGCTTCTCCAGATTCCCTGGATATCTGGAGGCGTCTCAAACTAGATACCTAAAGTTTTAAACAGATTTAATTATATGGGCCTCTACATGATTTTGTGGCTTTTGAAGGTCAACATTTGAACTGGGTGTTATTTTATGCTTTATTATGGTAAAGTGAAATGGGCATTACATTTGTAACAAATGTTGAAAACTGTTAATTTTGCTTCCATGTAAAGCTATCCAGCTTAGCTTTTGACCCAGGCAATTGTTTAATTCGAGATATAAAATAATTTCCGTTCAATATTCAGTACTTGCTATGTAGGGATGCACAGTGTGTGCTGCCCTTCTCAAAAACTCCCTTATGTAACTTGAGAGGTTTTGATCTGTAGCTAAATGCGTCATTTGTCCCAGAGTGCTGCTTTACGAGCTAACTGTTGTTAAGGAACAAAACATAAATTACCTGAACAGACATATTTTTTGGCTCTCTGTTGAAGGATTTAATCTAGAGGGGCAAATGTGACCTTGAAATTACAAGCAAATCTTTGACTTCTCAGTCTGCTGGTCTAAAGTGATCTGCTATCAGATTCCATGGCTCCATCTGAGTAGTGCAAATCAGTAAGGACACTTAAGCCATTTTAAATGTGTGTCAGTGGTCCCCATGATAAGTACTATCTGAGTATTGCTGGCAGTAAGGAGCAGTGTTGCCAACTCCTCAGTAAGGAAAGTAGCTATTGGCTGTGCTAAAAGTCGAAAGAAGTCGCTAAATGACGTAATTGCCTAATTTGCATAATCTGCCACTGGAAGCGATGTGCATGTTATTGATGCTGTGGGAGAAATAATGTCGTTACAGAAAGACAAAAAGTGAGTAAAAACATTATATAATAGTTTTTTTCCTCACTTTACTAAACAATATATAGAGCTACTTTATATGCCAGTGTCACTCCCATTCTGACCTGTATCGTTCATGTCCCTGGTGTAAAGATATTGCTTAAGCTACGAACAGGAGGTAGGAGCTACAATTTAATGCATTGGGAAGGAGCCCAAAGCATTGGAAGAGTGCACTGTTGCCAGTGGCCCTCGTGGGGGTTACATCACAAAGTTACAGATCAGGGCCCAATGACAGCTAAATGACTCCTAATGAAAACTTTACGAGACGTGAATTCTGATGTTGATCACTAACCTTGGTCTGGAGGGTCTGGATCCCAAGCCGCCCACAACTGAACGATGAAGAACGGTGACCAGCAGATGGTGTAGACCAGCACTATAACTAGGGTCATCCTTACTGTCTTGGACATGGCTTTAGTGATACTGTGAGGTGGAGTGACCGGATGTGGAGGGGGGGCACAGTCCAGGGAACAGCGGGGTGAAGTGGTACAGGACTCCCGGAAATCGGAGCCCTTTGGTATTTGCTCCTGCGATAATGATGTTCCTTCTGTCTGACGTTCACCGCAGCAGCTACTATACTGAATAACAGACGGCACATAGTCGTAATGTTCTCCCACTTCGCAGTCATGTAAATTGCTGTCCTTCAGCAGTTGTCCTCCTCCTCCTCTCCCAGGCACCTGTCTTCCCCTCTCCCTTTCCCTTGCCCGGTCCTCCTCTTTCCTAAAGCCGTGGATGCGAAACAGGTTTTCACTCCTTTTCAGCTCAGCCATCACTATCCTCTCTGACTTCAGGTAGATGTTGTTGTGAATCTCGCGGAAGATTCTTATCTGAAAGACAGCATTTATAGGAGCCCTTTAATATCCAAATCCAGATGAGTTTTACTGTTACCACGTGCCAGGAGTAGAAAAAAATTTCATTATGAAAGAACATGAGATACAGGCTGAGTTGGTATCAGTCATCTACAATTAAACTGTCTCTGAAACCTTTAAGTAGCATAACTAAACAGGTTTATATCTTTACTGCCTTAGAGAAAGGTGTCTATGAAATTTTATGGTGCTGAAATTGGCTCCACTTTTCCTTTTCAAAGAAAATCTGAAAATCACTGAAAAGGATTTTATAGTCTGACATTCCCAGCTCCATCCAAAGTCATAGAGCTAATCCACTAAATTCTCTAAGGCTTACTTTATTAATATTTTTGCAGGCTTTGATTCCTACATTTATTGCCTCTCAAATGTGTACAACCCTGTGTTGTAAAAGCAAGACCATTCTGATGTTTTCAGTCTTTTTTTCCACCTTAGATAAGAAATTTATTTCATATTTTATAGAATCTTTAATCTTTAGTCTTTTTTTCTGTTCAATTTTTGGAGTGTTTTAACACAGATTTTATGAATTGGTTTTATCTTAGTATTCATATCTTATTTCTGTAAATGTAAATCCCTTTATTGTCCCATAATGGGGAAATTCACTCTTTGCATTTTAACCCACCCCCTTGGGAAGCAGTGGGCTGCCATAGTGTGGCGCCCAGGGAGCAGTGTTAGGTTAAGGGTCTTGCTCAGGAACCCAGATTGCAGGCTGTTGTGTTTTAAGCACAAGTGTACTGCTCTAACCACTAGGGTAACACTTCCCTTTAAAGGTTAACATCAAGCCACCAGTTGGTGACCCAATACAACTTCCCTGACCCGGAATTGGGCCACAGCGGTGAGAGTGCTGAGTCCTGACCACTAGACAATCAGGGACAGCAGTTTGGGTAAACTTGCTTATTTTTTTTTTTATTTTATTTTTTTTTTATATGAACTACATGAGTGAACCAGATTTGAGTCACCTAAAGAGAACTAAGGAAAAGAGATGCTCTCTGAGTTTGGCAGTTGAAAGGCAGAGAGGGGAAGCAATTTCAAGACAAGATGTAGGATCTTGATAGAGACCCCGTATAATGCAGTGAAAGCTGAGTCAAAAGGTAATTCAGAAAACTATTCATTTAACTGGTCTAAGGCTTTTTTTTTATTACATTCCCCTCTAAGACATTAGTTTAAACTGTAGGGGGGGGAGCAACTTTTATATATGAAGAAGGGAGATATGTGATCAGCTGCTAATATTTAAATCAGAGAAAGCATTTAAAGGGGCAATCACTTTGAAAGCCTGTGTGTGTAAAAATACTCTTCTTGAATCAAATGCAATATCAAGAACTAGGTTACTGATTGTGAAGTCGGCTGAGATCGCATATGTTCCACATCCTGGCAGATCGCTCTCAGAGTGGGCAGCCGCCTCAAGCTCTGGTTTAATTAGGGAGAAACGGCCAGACTCTTGAAATATCTTTCCCCAAATAGAGCAGGACCGGTGGGAGGCAGTCCAGAATGTCTGTTCACCACCTTACACCAACTGCAGCATCCCATGGGCTGTTGGACAATGGCTGCCAAGTGCACTTTGCATTTCTTTCATGCCATATGCATCATTACCTGATGAGGTTTTTTTGAGCATGTAATCCTGTTATCAATAGTCAGCGTACGCTGCAGGGAAGCAGCCGGTGCAACCAGTATTACCTGACAGATGGTAATGATGAGGGCGGGCAGCAGGAACACAGCCACGGTCATCCAGGTGACGTAGGCCTTCAGCCCCCACGGCTCAGTGAAGTGACCCCAGCACTCAAACTCTCCTGGCGCTACTTCTGAGCGGGAGAAGATGAACACCTGACGAATGTAACAAGAACCTGTGGTCAGCACTCCCACAAATATGATGTAAGATCATTTTCAGTCACCTGAACTGTAGTGACCTCATTTAGCTAAAAATAAACCATCAACTTAAGCTGATCTGTAAAAACAAAGGTGTGGACACCCGATTAGGGCTTATTTTTCTATTTCAACATGTGTGAGTGTGTGTTTTGTAAGTAAAAGGTTTTGTTTGTTCACCCCTCCCTACCTGCGGTATGCTAAGCACCAGAGCCAGGCCCCACGCCACCATCACAGGGGTGTTCCAGCGGGACATAGCTCCAACGCGGTAAGCCTGCAGTGGGCAGCAGATGGCATGGTGCCGGTCGACTGTCATGGCAACTATCATGTAGGAGGAAGCAAACATCCCCACTATCTGCAAGTACTTGACGGACCGGCAGAGCAAGTCAGGCCCCTGAAACCTCTCTGTTATGTCCCATATCAGCTGAGGCAGTACCTGGACACAAACAGGAAGAAAACCACTATCAGTTACACCTTGTTATGAAGCTTTGTCTTTTTTTTGTTTTGTTTTGCAGAACTATGGAGGTGAAATAGTGAAGGTCATCTCAGGTGATACCGGCTGTTATCTTTGTTGCAAGGTTTATCCTTTTGTACAACATGCTCCTATTCTTATCCTGATGCACATCAGTAAATCACAATGTTGCAGTGGATTACACACCTCTGCAGCCTTTAACAACAGGAGTCTATTTATACGCACTTAAAAACTGTCCCGACAAATGACCTTATACTCCTGTATGCGATAGCACACTAGAAGCAACAACTAACAATGCTCATCCCTGTAGTTATGAGCAAAACACTTTATGATTCTACATTAAAAAAAAAATTATATTAGTGCATTTTTTCCCCAAAAGACTAATCAGAACTGAGATGATGATTTCCAAGCATGTAATTTTTTTATGGGATTTCTGTATCTTTGGCTCCATTCAACTTTCCCTGCCTGAACTTCAGAAATAATCCCCAGAGCATGATGCTGCCACTTCCGCATTTAATCCTGAAGGCTGTTCTGATTGGGTGGTCTGCAGTTTTATTTTATTCCATGCATTGTGTTTCGAATATAGGCTAAAACATGCAGTTTTGGTCTCATCTGACCGGAGTGCTTTCTTCTCCTATATTCGCTATCTAAAGGCAGTTTGTTGCTCTGGATAACCTTTATTTAGGGGAATTCTGTACTGAATCAGTAAAATTTCCTATTAAAACAAGAACCTGAATTGAACCGAAGAAAGAAGAACACATCTAAATTCAAAACCTTTGTGTCTCACACAACAACAGGTAAAAAATTTTTAAGTTGAACACTTTTAGTGGATTAAATTTGACTATATCCCTTATAATAGCACAATCTTCAAAAATATATTGATATTTTTATGATCATATTTATAATATTTATACAAATACAAAGCTACAAAGGTGCAACAGTATTTGAAAAATAAAATGCCTTGTTGAACGCCTTTGTCGTGCATCATTAACGTAACAAATTGGTGTGTGAAGGTAAATTGGCTTAGATCTGCCTATCCAAAACAAGACCTGTTATCAAAACAGACATTCTACCAGATAAGCCTGATCACGACATGCAGGATAGCTGGTATCCTTGCCCTGATAGTTTTTAGTTCACTGCAAGAGCATCTGCTCTGAATGAGTAATTTCCAAAGCAAGTATGGAATAATGATGACAACATCAACAAAAAGGCTCAGCCAATATGCCATTTTTGTTTGTAAATAAAGAGCCCTTATGAAATATTTTGCCAGGATCTCAGATGTTAAATTGGCACAACAAGTCATTGGATGGTCAAAAAGACATGAGAATTCCAGAGTAGTTCATCCAGTGTTTTATGAACAGGCATGTAGAGCAACTACGATAGATTGATTGATTGATTGACTACATTGATCTCACAGTGGAGAAATGTACTTGTTACATCGGCTCAAACAGTCAAAAAGAAGAAGAAGGTGCCAAAAGGAGGAAAAGGTGCATAGGGATATATTCAGTATATACAGTGCATCCACAGACGTCCAATACGGATGGATTCACCAAAATATTTCTTGTTCTTGATGCAAGCTTTGTTCTCAAAATCTCAAAACAAAGAGGTTATAAACTTGACAGCAGCCATTTTAACTGATAGCAGTGAACCTGGAAGTCACACAGTTTGCTCCAGCTTTCAACCTTTGATTCTATGCTTCAGTATGTTTAAGTGCTGATGATGGATCCCTGATGAATTACCAACAGATTTTCCCGTTATTAATTAATAACTTAAACCATATAACATAAGGTTATTTTTTATATTTATTTGCGTATTTACTGACCCACATACATTCTTCACTATGAGCAATATTAGCACCCCCACATAGTTATTACCTATTTACTGTAATATATAGTTAACTACTTACCTACTAATTTATTTACTTTATCTTATTAATTGGTTTACTTAATGCTTACTAACCTAATTATTAATTCCTTCCTTCCTTCCTTCCTTCCTTCCTTCCTTCCTTCCTTCCTTCCTTCCTTCCTTCCTATTTCCATGAAATTCCTATCTAATTATTATTACTGTGTGAATTCCTTGAATTACTTCAATTGAATTATTTATTTACCCATTAGCCTACCTAATTTTATACTCACCTGGATGTTTTATTATTATTTATCTAACCTTTTAGCTGCTTACAGTAGCTTTCAAAATATTTGCTTCTATTCTTCATTGCTTGCCTTATTGATTACATATTTGCTTCACTGCTTTCCTTTAGAAAGAGCAGTTTTTCATGTCCCAACACTACTATAGATAAACCAAATGAACTGACCTGAAAGAGAGCCACCACCAGGTCAGCCACACACAGGTTGACCATAAACAGGTGCATAGGTGCATTGTGCTTTCTTCTCCTCAGAAGGACCCACAACACAAAGCTGTTGCCCAGCGTGGTGAGAGCCAGAACCATCCCCAAAACGGCAATCTCAGCCCGGGCCAGTCCTTGGTCCCTGGTCCGGGGTTGAGGCAGGGAGTGAGGCGTGGTGTTGGAGCCATTCTCTTGAAAGATACCAAAGATGGATCCTCCAGTGCGAGAAGCGTTAAACGAGCTCAGTTCAGTTACAAACACAGAGAAGTTGTTTCCTTCGGAGGCGCCTGGAGAGGAGAGACCTAATCCATCCCAGTCTGTTTCTACGCTGATCCTTTCCATTCCTGAGAAAACAAGCAAAGTGTTAATGTGTTTATTGTTTATCAAAACAATTTCCGGCAAAAGATAACAAGCAGCTAAATTTGGGCACACTCAGAGGCCTCTGTACTCTCAGTCTGTCACGACACAAGTATCATGTTCGATCAGATAATGTAATTTACCCGAATGAAAACTATTTTTGTTTGCTGAGTCCGTTGGGTGCCTTTTTTGTGTTTCTGTATCAAGTAGCTGGGAATCCCAAAAAGCTTACACGTAAGCACAGAGACTGTTTGTCTTCAGAGCATCAGAAACATTCTCACGTCATTCACCAAAAACAGATTTTCCTAATGTTCCTAATAAAGTTTTGACTGAAAGCTAGACACAATACCAATCACGGTGAGCTTTGGAGCTCTCTCACATTTTTTTTTTTTTGTACAGCTCCCCAGCTTTTCCACTTGTCCATCCAACAAAATTTCCATTTTGTCTGACGTAAGTCTGCTTAGATTTATTTACTGTTTCAAACTTTCTCAAGGATGAATTGACAGCTTTCCCCTTTATCCCACCAGTCTACATCCATTCACCTCCTCACCCAACCGTTCTCATCTCATGGTTCCCCCTCCTCTGACATTCCTGTCTCCCCTTGTTTTTGTTCCCCTCTGTAGCTTTCTCTCATGTCACACTCGCTCTTGATCGCAATAAACTTTTGGTTTATTTTTCTTTGCTTAAAAAAAAAAAAATGCCAAAAGAGAGTGGAAAGTTGATAGGGGTGAGATGATAATTTGAGAAACAGTCATGGGTAGCTTGGGGTGGGGGTGGGGGGTCAAATTTGGTCAAATAAACCAAATGAAGACTGGAGGATGTAAGGACAGATGAAGGGACTGGAAAGAAAAGATGTGAAGCTCAAAAATAAATTAATAAAAAAGGAAGATTATAGCACGGGTAACATAGAGGTTAGCAATGTGGGATGTGGGTATACAATGCATGCAGCCATACTGGTCAGATCTGAAGAAGTGGTTACATTTAAATGCCTCAAATTAAATTATTAAAATATATCTCTATATCAGCCAGACCAGACCCTGACCACATTTGAAAATATTTTCAGATTAAAAACCTGCAGTTTTCAGAACAGGGGCTGAACTGTTAAACCCAACTAACATTTTCAAATCAGTGTTTTAGATTTTCGTAGTCACTAACCTGTGTTTCCTTTTACAAAGTTTCCTGTGATTGAAGGCCTAGTCGCTGCTTCTTCATCATATTAAAAAACACTTTTTTTTAAATTATCCTATTAATTATCCTCATCTTTTCTGAGTCATGACATGGATAAGTAGTTGATGCACTGTTGGAAGGTTGGCTGATTTACTGGAACCTGAAAGCTTAACAAATGGCTTGTCACTGACAGATATATGCGTTCTGAATCTTGCATTGTATCTTTAAATGTAAAGATTATTAGAATGTTGAGAATAATTATCTAGATTTCCTTTTTTGTTCCAGACTGCTGGGCTTTTCTGTTATCTTTTAAAGCACAGTTTTGAGCTATTTTCTATTTTGCTTAAATTTCATGATAAATCTTTACTGGGATACATGCACCAGTAAAGGGGCAGGTTTACCTGTATAATAGGCATGATAACAGTCAAGGTGGATGTATCTCTCAGGATTGATGTCCCATGAATGTGCAATTTGATTGGCTTCATTCATAGTTAAAGACCTCTCTGTCTTTCAGTATAAGTGTCGCAATGAATGGATGCCACCCCTAAAAATAGCTATGAACCATCCAGTGATAATACGGAGCAATCAAACGTGTCTAATACTCCATTATGAGGTTATTGTCACTGCTACACTAAGGCCTAATGGCCAATTTGCAAGTAATAACCCCCTCATTGACAGCCGTGTGAGATAAGAGAGCTTATGATGCTTGCAGCCTAAGGTAACGGCTTTGCCAGATGAAGTTTTCAAGATGTACACGTGATAGAGCATACCAGCTGGCCCTCTGTGTCCAACAGGATGTTGGAGATGGGGAAGGAGGGAGAAATACACTTTTGGTTTATATGATTCCATACAGATGTTTTTTATTATCATGAAACGTTAATCCAAAAATATCTTTTGAGTTTGAAGCCTTGAATGCTCTCCTATTATGTTTTCATTATTTTTCTTTGCACACAGTAAGGTCTACTGCACTGAGGGAGCTTCTGACCTTGCGTTGGTTGGTCTTATGTCCTTCTCAGCAATAACAGTATAAATTATGAGCTCAATCATAAGAGCCGCTATGCTCCTTTTGAACCGATAAATACTCTTATTAAATATGAGTGCCCATGTCATCAATTTCTCATATGAATTCCTGTTTCTTAGTTACATCAGGATATGATGTGCATGGAGGTTAGAAGTAGTGGCACTAAAGCAACATAAAACAAAATAAATTATGTTTAATCAAATTAACATATTTATTACATACTAAAGAGCTTAGATGTCTGAAAGTGAGGGCTTTGCATCCTTCTTCCCTTTAAGCATCAGCTGTTCTAAACCATCAAAGGACGTGGTGTTTTTTCATTCAATTGCTTCAGCTTCATTTGCTTTGCTTGTGCATCACAGAGATCCATCCAGGCTGTCTTTCGCACGCTCCGTGACTTACTGCATAAACAGGAGAGGCGAGCACATCCGAAAACTTCTGCTCCTCATATTTCCCATATTCAAAGAGGAAACTCGCCGCAACATGTTGAAAGAACATCACGTCTGCAGAACCGTGCCGGATGCTGTTTAATGTATTCCAGGCACATCGCATCAATCCCTGTTTGTCCGACTGGCTTAATGTAAAGCTCAAATTATCCCATCTCCCTGCGCTGAATGGACTGTAAACACTGCTTTTAGGAGTTAGTACACTACATTGCTTCCCCTCTTTACTCTAGAGCTTTCAGGCTGATTAATGATGGAGTTGGAAACCTCGAACCCTCCCTCTGCCGTCCTCCCCACAGACAAGCTGGTGTTCAACCATCCATATTCCTCCCTGTCTCGCACTGCCTCCCAGCATGGGGGGCCCCAAACACACAAAGCCTTGGATTGTTAAAAAGGCATAAAAAGCATTATACATATTAGCCCCTCATGTCCACTCCTTCTTTTTCCACACATGTTTTGGTCATACTCTTAAATTACATCATGTTCCAACTATGCCAAGTTGAAAAGCCCTGAAAGTTCAGGGCCCAATGTGTAAAAGGCATGGATTTTAGGTGAACATCAGGTTGTCAGAGTGTTTTATTATGAAGATATGAACAGCAGCCTCACAGTTATTGATGCCATTTGTTAAGATCTGTCTAAAAGCTTAGAGTTGAATGTCAGTATAATACTTAGTGAACCCAAAGACCCCAAAACACTGCTGATTTTATTATTTTTAATGTTAACTTTCTAACCATCATTATTGCTAGGTTTTTTATGCTTCCAGGTAATGCTGCTCTGACTATAGATATTAGCAAGTTTAAGTATTTTATTGTAGCCATTAACTGGAGTAAGAAGATTAATGTTCAGGTGTCTTTTTTAATGGCATGTTTGATTGTCTTTACTACTTTAAAGAGGGGCTGAAAGAAAATTGTATCTGTGCTAAGTAAAAGTTCTACTACAGGGAAAAACTACTGTAAGAGAACTATATCTAAAATTCTAACATGAGGAAAATTGATTTCAATCAGGTGAACCTATTTAGCACTCACTCCTGCAAAGTGCATTGTGCATACAGATGGAAAGACAGATATAAATACAGACAAACATGGACATGAAGATAGACAAAACATCTCATAGAATTGCATTTGTTTAATGGGTTAAGTAAGTTACAATTAGAGGAAAACAGTCCAATATTATAATCTATAGTCAATCTATAATCATATTCTAAANATATATATATATATATATATATATATATATATATATATATATATATATATATATATATATATATATATATATATATATATATATATTCTACCAGTTGTGTATTTATTCATTGCTACATAAATTATATTACATTATTATAGTAACTGCAAAAAAAAATTCTGATTCTTATTAGTTCTGTTGACAATATTATCAAACAGTTTTCTTTGTAATTAAACTATAAAATTATGTAATTTATATATTATCATTCGAACTGTTAAAATTGTTGAGAAGAAGTCAACAAACAAATTGGTTGTTACAAAATTTATATGGCGTTGAACTGATTCCAAGTCAGTTACAAACGTACTGAAATTAGAAAAGAGTCCTTGAACTAATGAGAAGCTGTAATCAAGAATAGTTTAAATATTTTTCTCCTCAAACTTAAACAATAAGTTAGTCAAATTCTCACAAATCTGAAGAAAAACAAAAGGATTTATTTTTTTGCAAGTTTCATTTCTTTTTTAGTTTTTCTCGTTAGGATAGGATAGACATTGATTTCATACATCATAATTAATGTTGATTTTTATGTCAAATTGAGTACAGGTAAACATTTGGGAAAATTCTGTTAGTATTTGCAGAGGAGCTTTGACTCGTTTTGAAAAGAGACTCTATCTCTATGTAAAATCACGATAAAATGATTCAGAAATTTAAGGGGAAACGTATTAAAAGTAAATGATCCTTATATAACAGAGACATAGTTATGCAAATAGGTTGATTGGGTATTCATATCAAAAACCTTTGACCATATACATTTTATTCCTTTAGTCAAGATTTCCTTGTGCCTGCAAACAGGTTTTTTTTTGCACATTAGGTGGTGTAAATCCAAGCATAATTAAAAATCAATCATTTTCCTCTGCAGCCTTGCTTCTCTTGATTGGGCTTGTCAGTCCCTTGATTAGTTTCCGTTGACAAGGTCCAACCCAGGCTGATCGATGGGAACCTCTCAGTCCTCATTAGCAGCCCAGCGTGAACCACAACAACACGCTGTAAATTCCCTTCTCTAATCTCCTCTTCTTCCTTCTCTCTGTTCTTGTTCTCACCCCTATTTTCATCAGCTCACTTCTTCCCTGGACAATCCAGCACCTTTATCTGTCTTCTTTATATTTGACAATAAATA